AATCGGAAAATCCAGGAATTACAATTTCAGGTCTTACAATTTTCACCAATCGACAAACTTTTTTATTTTTGAAAATTTTTATATACATACAGCGATGCAAATGATGTCAAAACATGACAAAAATTTTTGAAATTATTAGTTTTAACCCAATATATATCGTTTGGCCACAGCGATTTTTTATTTGTGCGCTAATATAATCTAACGCGAGCGAAAGCCATCGCGAGACAGTATTATACCGCATTTAGGTACTCAGAGATAGGAGAGTACAATACTCATAAGACCTTATGACCACTTGGTAGGGTATTATATATTTTTAATTGAATTAAATAGAAGCGGAAATATGGATATAATACATTTTATTCCTTTAAAATATATTTATATTTTGAGAAAATGTGGCCCTAACCTCCGACATTAAAAACATTCCTGTTCATCATTTTCCCCTTCTTCAAAATCTTTAATAGTGTTATTACAAGAACAACACTCGTTACAACATTTTAGACCTTCTTGCAGGCAAGCAAATTTTCGATTTTCACCATGTTTATCTGAAGAATAAATATACAGGGCTTTCATTTCAAAACTTGCCACCCACGTTATCTGCGTGAAGAGGGTAAAGGCCGAAACCCACTAGCAACACGCCACGCCACCCCACGCCATGTGACACAGGTTCACGTGGGACAGTTTGTGTGCAAATAGACGGATGGCGTGGCGTGCCATGGCGTGGTATCGCGTATGGCAAGTGTGTACGCAGCACATATAAATGAATGGAAGAATATACGCATACATTTTCGTCACATGGCGTGGCGTGGCAAAGCATGACGTGGCGTGTTGCTAGTGGGTTTCGGCCTTTATTCGTCGAAAAACGCCGAAACACGTCAACAAATTTATTGGGGGAGGGAAAGGTTTTTCACGTGAAACTTGAATCCCTTCCTTCAACCTCCTAACCTCCAGGGCTACGCTATACTACACCACCCCAGAATTTTTAAATGAGACAGGGGGTCGAGTGATAGATCATTTTGAAGGGCTGTTTAATCTGTAGAATTTGCCGTTTCCTTTTTCGAATTTGATCTCAGTGTTGCTCAAAAATGCCTATTTATTTTTAAACACACCTGCTTTACCTACATTTTTATTACCCACCGGTGTATACAAGGGGGGGGGGGGGTAATGGGGGTAATTACCCCCCCCCCCCAGGATGATCCAGGATCGTTGCAATGGACGAAAAATATGTACCCGTATATTTATTTTATTTTTCAGCAACTGGCTAGGGCCAGAGGAATGTTTATTTTTTGAAATAAATAACAGGGTTGCGTTTAGAAATAGCACTCTGGGTGTGAGAATGAGTCTAGAGTAACTCTAAACCGTTCATAAATTAACAGGTGCTTACTCGGAGCGTTACGCTAGAATCGTTCAGAAATTGAGAGTTGACGTACCCAGAGTGCGCCCAAATTACCCCCCCTGTGTTGAAAAACGCCCCGCGGCTTTTACCGGGTTTGTCGTTGACAGTTAGCACAATACCCCAATTACGTTCAGAAAAGGCGCACCCAGAGTGCACTCCAAGTGATGACGTCAGAACACTCTCACAAATAACTACTCTACCTTCGCACTCCATTTCTAAACGCATTCCTGCTGTGTGATTTTTATACTTAGAGCAGGTGAAGACCTCTTTACCTTCACCTGGTAGTAACATGGAGTTGGAAAATGAAGCCGTTTTTTTTTCTAGGTATTTTGGCACCAAAAAAATGGCGGTATCAATGCTTTACTTGTATTTTGGTGCCAAACACCCGCCAAAAACTTGGTTTTACTTCAGTTTCATAAGCAGAATGGCGCGTTCCATACTCCTTATGTCCGTAGAACAGCGCTTTACCTGCTCTAAGTTTTTATATTACACACCAGGTTCTCGAACGTACCCCTCTGCCCGTTTGTCATTTATAGCGAGCTCTATTGAAAGGGATATTTCGCACTGAGTGTATTCGTGTCTTTTTCTACTAGCTTGCATAAGGAAAAGATAAAAATATTTTTTTTTGCACTGGTTCTACCAATAGTTCTTTTCACGTGGCTCCGGTTTAACTAACCGGGTTACCAAACCGTTAGAGAAATGACATACCGTTTACTAACCCGGTTACAAAGTGACGTGATGGATACCTACGATTCGAATTTGAGCGGTATGTTGCGGTTTGTTAAACCGGAGCCACGTGAAAAGGGTTATTATGATTCGCTATAATTTGAAAGTGTTTGGGGAATCCCAGAGGCAGTGGCGTAGCCAGCCTTACGGGGCGGAGGGGGCAAACATTAAGGGGCGCATAATTCTTTATTTTTTTTGGGGGGGGGGGGGGCGGAAGGGTACAACAAATGAATGTTTGTATGTTTTTGTAATATGTGCTTATTGGGGGAAAATATTAAAGACGAAAAGCCTGACAGAGGCGAAAAATTTCCTCGAGTGCCACGCCCAAAAAAGTTTATTTTAAGCCTTCAAAAACATTTTTTTTTTCGGGTGCCACGGTGCCAGGCCGAAAAGCATTTATGTATTTTAAGCCTTACAAGGTATAATGTGTGGACATGCCGTTAACTTCAAAAAATCCTTCCGGACGCCTTGAAAACTAGAACAAATCCGGGGAAATCTGGACGGATGACAGCCCCACCCAACCCAGCAACCCATAGTTTAGGCGGTTACACACGGACGTGGATGTCTGAAAACATGTACGCACATACATGAACGTGCAAACAAAAACATCAATGTGTATGCAAAATACCGTCGCGTTTTTGAATGTGCAATTTTGTATGCACACTCGGAACACTGTAGCAAGAATAGCAAGACTGCAGTTTTGTGCGAGCGTCTGTACAAAAGCGCCATGCACGTTGTTGTTTGCACGTTGATGTATGCACGTATATGTAGTAAGACATCCACGTCCGTGTGTAACCGCCCAATAGCAAGACTGCAGTTTTGTGCCAGCGTCTGTACAAACGCGACATGCATGTTGTTGTTTGCACAATGATGTATGCACGTATATGTATCAAGACATCCACGTCCGTGTGTAACCGCCTTTTAATAAACAAATATTACATCAATCATCAAAACAGAAACTATCACTTTTCCTTTGATTGAACTGAACCATTTGCCGACAATGCTGACTTACGATAAAGAATAAAAGGTGAAGATGAGGTCGATAAAATAAATAAGAAACAGCAACATTTTATTTCTTATTTTTTGCTTTTGTTTTTTAAGAGCGGTAGGGGCGCCACACGTGTAGGGGCGGGGGGGGCGTCGCCCCCCTGCCCCCCTACTGGCTACGCCACTGCGCACAAGCGAAAACATACCTAAATGCTGTCGAATAACCACCACGTTGCGATTTGCTGAGACTTGAGATGAGGCGCAAAAATCAATTTATTTATGTCACCGCAGGTCTAACTACTGCAGACTGGGACTGAGTCGCAAAAATCGAATTATTTTACGCTTTTCAAACTATCAGAGAATACGGGAGATTTACGCGTCCCCACAACAAATTTGGGGACGCGGGACATGGACCTTGAAATAAGGGACTGTCCCGTATAAAACGGGACGTATGGCAGGCTTATAGAGATCATCAAAGTGCCGCGCGACTGTGAAACTACTATGAAGTTGGTTGTACGGTGGCCCAATACAATACAAGCCACGCCCACAACCTTGGATATAAATAACGACTTGCGTCTCTCAACGTGGCTCCTTCAGTATGCGCGTGCGCCTACTTTGCACAAAAGATTTTTAGGTTGGATTTTATTGTTTTGTTTTGATTTTGTACATTGTTGCCTGCCTAGGTTCCCTGATTTTGTTTCTACTGACCCTGAAATTTCTATTTACCCTGTTTAGGGTAATTTTTTAGTTAGCAAAAAATTAGCACAAGAAACAAGAAACCCAATCTCGCCCTTAACTATTTATATCTGTAATAAGTAAAACACAAAGGTAGGTATGTATTTGGTTAAAAAATTTATTTTGACACAGAAAAATCAAATCGCACCTAAAATAAAAAAGAGAGTATCTAGGTACCTATAATACAGGTGATCTGTGCTAATATTACAAGAGATTATAATAATGCATGCATCGTTTTACTCTTTGTAATTTTTGCCTTTTTTAATGGCGCGAAATATCTTCTCTGGTGTTCAGCTTTTTTATTATGGCTAGATTTGGTCTCAGGCACAATGCTGTGGACGGAATGGCGTTCAATTGCATTCATCCCTGATTTTCTTGTATGTAGACTTTTTGAAACATATAGGTAATAGAGCCTCATAACTGACACTTATATAGGTATATCGGGTCTTCAAAAAAAAAAACAATCAAAGATTGCTATGGTTTTTTAAACGTACGTCTTAGCAATATTTTTCTTTAATTTTGACAATGTCAGTCAATGAAATTTATTGTCAAAATATCATGTCAAAAATCCTGACCAATAAAGAAACAATAATGCGACGTACGTTTTCGTAACCAAAGCAATGTTTGATTGTTTTTTTTTTTAAAGACCCGATATGTATCAGCAAGTAAAGTGGACATTTGCTCATTAACAGCTTTTTTTCTTGTTTCCTCCATCCTCCATCACATGACACGAATCAACAGATATATAACTGAAAAAATTACCCTAAAAGGGGAGATAGAAACTTCAGGGTCAGTATAGAAACAAAATTACGAAACTTAGTAAAAAAATACAAGATCAAAAGCAAGACAAAACAGGAAAACCTAACCTAAAAATCTTCTGTGGAAAGTACGCGCAAGCGCAAGGAGCCACGTTGAGATATAGACGCAAGTTAAATAACGCAGGTCCAACATAACGTCGAATCCAGTCATCGGAGAAACACGGAAGAGAACACTTCGTCCTCTACCACACCGCCTCTGAAGATGTCTACCGCAGCAGTAGAGACGAAACGTTAGGTAGAAATACTAATGGACCACGGCATTATCGCCCGGAAAAAACTTTTTTACTAAACTTATTTCAAATCAAAATAGCTATTTATACAATAAGTTACGAAATGAGCGTCTTTTAGGCACGCGACGTGAAAATTGTCCAACGAGGCAAAGCCGAGTTGGACAACACGTCGAGTGACTAAAAGACATCGTTTCGTAACGTATTGTATACAAGATTTTTTCTACTGGCATTTTATAATAAAAAAAGACAATTTTATTTCATGTGAATAAGTCGATTACACCCAAAATCTTTGTTACCTGCTTTTACTTGACACCTGACACTTTTCATGCGATTTTCTTTTCAAAATTCGACATCAATAATTAAAATCCTAGAAAGTAGGTAATAACACAAAGTTCTGTTTTGAGTAACCCAAACGTTCAATTCAGTAATTCCATTTTCAATATTCATAATAAATACAAAACAAAATTCAAATATGTGTTTAGTGTGTTTTTTATTTCTGAATAATGAATGACACTTTTAGGCACTAGTGCTTAAAAATTACTTTTACGCACTCATAAGTCACTTTTACGCATTCAAAAGTCACTTTTACGCACTGAGTGCCTAAAAGTAACTTTCACGGACTCAGTGCCTAAAAGAATGTCGTTTCAAAACTGAAATGACAATCGAAAAGTTGCTATTATGAAACGTCAGTAGAAAAATTCAATTTTTTTGGTTTCAAGTTTTTATTGTCTAAATTTATCCTTAACTTATTTAATTTAATATTTTAATGTATTTGTTGATCTTTCACAGCAGCGACAATCTCATTAACTTCTTCAACCGCCTCCAAATCAATGTCTAAATCTTCATCATCCTCTTCATCAAAATTGCCTGGTATCCTTTGTGGAAGATTATTCATCACTGAAATAGCATCAATTTCTTCATCTTCGCCATCATCATCGCTCAAATCAATTTCTTCAATAACATTTTCTTCTGATCCCAACTCTACTTCCGCATTTTGATTTTGAGAAGTAATTCCTTTTTTCATGTTGCTCAACATTTGACTACAATAAGCAGTTACATTTTCAGGCGACGGAACAGTTTTTTGACTTTTTTTTTCTTTCAGTATTTCTTGCTGCACAGCCTCGAATATGTATTTATTAACAATTTCTCTGCAGTGTTCTTGAAAACTTAATGGCAACCAACCATTTTTTTGATCGTATTTGGCTGTTGGTGGTAATTTTGGAAGCTTCATGAGCATTTCTTGTACTTCTGGGATTTTAATATCACAATATTGATAAAACATTTGCCTTGCCGGTGGTACTTGATTTGGCCTAATTATATAATTCACCTCATTATTATTGGGGTATTTCAAATCAAATCCTGGTGCTAGATTATGAAATGATGTCTTTTTAGGTTTAATTTTAACTTGCATTCCTTCTGTTTGACGAATTCTGAAATCTAAAATTTGGTATATTCTTGAATTGAAATCAGTTACAGGGTTGTATCCAAATTTGATCCAGCAAGTTCTCCAAGGTCCCCCGTGACAATAATAAGCTATACAGGGCAAAGTATTTTTGGCTGTATCTTGATTGATATTAGCCTTATGCATAATTCCTGATTTGGTCCAAATTGGTCTCTCTTCAAATAATTTTTTAATTGCATTTAATTGATACTGCAAAAACCTACTTTTCACAACTTCGAATATCCCTGGCATTGGCTCGGTGGGTATTTCTGAGTTTTCATGCAAAACAACTCTTATTGAAGAAGCTATTATTTTTTGCCTGGTGTGTTTTTTGCCAAAATCTAATATCTGAGGTGCACCTCTTCTGACCATTGAATTAAATAATTCGATTGAATTTAAGCTAAAGCGGCTGTGGGGCACATCAAAACGTCCAAAATTTCCAGAAATTAAAAACGGTGGGTCATTGGCTATTTCCTTTTTCGTAAACCATTCTAAAGTAGGTATTTTATCACATACAATTTTACTGTAAATATATTCGACATCAGATTCTTTATTTTCATTTTTATCTTTAGCTATTAAAGGTAAATATTGAAAATCGCACATTCTGTTGAATTTGAAACATGTATCAGTAATTCCGAGGATTTCATATTGGGCTTCCTGATTATCTTTACCTTGTTTTACTTTAATTAAAAGGCCTATGTTTTGATCCTTATCAGCCACACATCCTTTCATATATACGCTTTTTGGATTGAAATAAAGCCCCAGTTTCTTGCCTTCAACAGCGGCATGCTCGATGCTGGTAATGCCGCCTAAAGATTCTATAGCTTTTTCTGGATTTTTCACAAGACCTGGATACTCGATACGCACTAGAGCTTTATCAAACTGGTACAAACAATTTGTGTCTAGATCCTCGTGCAGAACGCTTTCTTGGGGTTCAAAAAAATCCACTTTCGTTTTTCGGAAAGTTTTGGTTTTCGACGAAGCTGACGGTCCAGGATCTTCTACATTTTTATCCATGATGAAAATTGGTTTTCGATATTAGTATGGGTTGATTTTCTTTTAGGGAATGTTTTTGAATTTAATTTAAAATAGGTAATCTCCTAATTTTGTTTTGATTTTGTAGTAGTGATGATTTGATTTGAATTGAGGTTAGGTAGGTAGGTAGTAGCGATTTCTCTCTGACACAGCTCGCTCGGCTCGACTGACACACTGGTTCCTGGTTCCGGTATTGTTTCTGGTGTAAGCGGAGTAAGATTAAAGGACCTTGCACACAGGGACCCGGACCGGAACGATAATGAACCGAAAACCGGAACGGGACCGTTTTTTTTTTGCGGACCGGAACGAAACCCATATTTTAAAGAAATGTTGTAGGACCAGTGTTGCCAATCTGAATTTGTGAAATCACACGATATGCTGGTCAAATTACACGTTTTTACACGCTTTCATTTCTCACAATTACACGATTTCTACACACAATCTTGGTACCTATTCTGTAACATCAAAAAACAAGAATAATTTTTTTTTGTTAATTATGATTTTGGTAAATGAGTTAAATCCTGTCAAATGTGAGGGTTAATGCTCCTGATCATCGCTCCTGACGCTCCTCAACAGGCTCAACCAAGAATAAAGATGTACAACTACAGAAAAGCGTTTCGAAAGTAATCAAATCACTAATTACTCTGGTTCCTGGAAAGAAGGTTACTTTTGAACCTCAGTTTCCTGCAAGCGTACTACACACTACTACTACTACAGGATAGCCTATCCTCATAAGGCCTATGTAGTTCAAATCTCAAGCCCCCCTGCCATGCCAAAGTACCAGTGAAACGTAGGCAGCGTGTCATTTCTCGTCTTCATTAATTAACATTACAAAACAACTCTTTTTCATATCTCGTTTGCATCTTCCGCTTCGCCTATAATCAAACTTAATTAACATTTTTCATCATAAATTTAAAACGACCGCTGACTAGGGTTGCCACCTTTTGAATTTCGAAAACCCGTACATAATCGAAGCTAACTTTTTTTTTGGGGCATAATTTACACTCATCTGTAAAATGAATTTTTAGGCGAAAATTAAAAATGGTACCTACCTAATTTTAGACGGCACCCCTTATAGTTACGTCTATTTTAAAATTTAAAAAAATAAAATAATAGAGACACTTGTAAGTGAACAGGGAGAACGAGACAATACATACATAATTATTTGTTTTATTAGGCAGAAAAGCACAATATTTAATGCCGCGGCTGGTGTTCCATAGCCGAAGGCGAAGCTAGGAAACCAGCCAAGGCATTAAATCTGTCTTTCGCCGTGTGAAACATATCATTTTTTCTCCGAATTTGTTACAATTTCACGCATAATCCACTTTTTTTTTATTTATCAATTGCGCTGATAACGTTTGTTGACACACCCGTCATTCAAGAAGTAGATACGTTCAGAAATTAGTTAGGTATATCCTAAGGCGATCGGAAATCGTCTTTATAAATTTTATATTTAGTATTAATTATTATTAATTATACAGTTATCCAGATATTCCCGGACATTTTCATCATGCGTCCGGACACCGGACAAACCTTTAAAAAACCGGACAGTCCGGGTGAAAACCGGACAGGTGGCAACCCTACCGCTGACGCAAGCAGCTGACCAGCTAACAACTTAGTTAATGACGTCGGCAATGGTGCTAAACCATATGACCGCGATTACTAAAAACGTAGTTCAATGTAAAAACGAGGCCTATAAGCAATCCCTAGTGTGTATTATCCTTGGCCATAAGGGTAGCAATTTGACAGATCATTTGTTTATAGCGTTTTCTGTTGGTAAAACTCGTGCTGCACTCATGCAAAAATTATGTTCTGTTGGCAGTTTCCGAGCGGGTTTTTATGTTCTATTGGAAAACCAGGGCAATCAATTATTGCCCTCGTGCAACTTTTCCAGCACGAGGTCAGAGAGCTCGTGCCAATGTCAGGGCACAAGAAAGATGGCGTAAAGTGCCGAAAAGTCTGTGTATAAACAAAACCAAAAAATTATGGATATCGATATTGATAAAATTCTATATTTTTTATCTTCGTCGAGCGACAGCGATGAAGAGGAAGAATTATTAAGTCTGTTTCTGCAGAAATCACAAACCAGTCAGAGTGAATTTCATTGGTTGAAACTAGTTTTCTGACTGTTTTCAACCAATGAAATTTACTCTGGTTTGTGATTTCTGCAGAAACAGACCTATTATTATTATCTACAATCGCAGGCCTATGATGTATCATTTTCTGTTATTTTAACAGCAACGTCAAAATAGAGACAGAAATAGATGTTGAGCCTTAACACGGACGTTGAAATAACAGGACAAGATACATCATAGGCCTGAATGTTTGCCAGGGATAATGAAATACCAAAAATTCAAAATTTTATTATTGAAATTGACATAAAAATTAATTTTAACGCAGGTATCATTGGAATTATTTCTGCACATCTCGGGAGACAGCATAATTATGTACTTTACATATAGGAAAAACTTCCGTTTTCAACTTTTTCATACACACAAACGTTTTTAATTTTTATTCCATTGAAAATATCTTTAGGTTAGGTTAGGGATCAGGGATCGTTAAATAATAAATTTGAAAAGAATGACAAAACGCGCCAAATTCGTGTTCTTTTGGGATTGCAATAAACGTGAACTGATTCATTGTTGAGTGCAGAACTCGGACAGCACGAGTTTTACCAACAGAAAACACTATTATAGATTGGAAAGCCGTGAAACAGACAAAAATAAAGAAAATGTCAAATTTTTCAAATTACACGCAAAATACACACTCTTTGTTTATGTTCGAAAAATACACGCAAGTCAATCAAAATACACGCAAATCGTGTAATTACACGCTAATTGGCAACACTGTGTAGGACAGGCAGAACCGGAACCGATATAAATTAATCGGTCTTGGTTCTTACCGGTATTTTTCGGCTCCAAGATTATAAAAATTGAGCCGTTTGCTGTTTGGTCGTATCGTAATAAATTTTATATCCTACCACATCCTATTGAACTATTAGGTTTGTTCGGACCACTGATCTGCTCGGACTTAGTTCAGAATCAGTTCCGAATTGAACTGCGCATGCGCATATGTTTATTTAAAAAAAAAACGATATGATTAAATGCGCAAGCGCAGATCAATTCAGAACTGATTCTGAACTAAGTCCGAACAAACCTATTATAACCATAAGATACCTTGGTCACGATAATCATAAACTGGATGTTAACTCCTGCGCAGGAGTTAAGGCTTTGCATAACTCCCGCTTTTACCTTGAATAGGTAAAAAAATCTGAGGGTAAAACTTTGAGAAAAATGGTTTATGGTTTATTCCTTTATAAAAATGGACAAAATACAGTAAATTCAGTAGGAAATAAAATTATCTATGGTCCACGGGAATTTATCAGGGGCGAGTTCAGGAATGACACACCCAGTGTGAGTGTGACACCGGTGCGACGCCCTAGCTGTTCAAAAATGCTAGACGGTGCTATGGGCCCAATGGCCAATTGTCAATTCAGGCACACCCATAGAATCGCACTCGCACCATGTGCGTTATTCCTGAACTCGACCCTGGTGTTAATACCCACGGGCACGCGTTGGAAAGCCGGAAGGCGCGCATTTCTGAACTCGAATAGGCTACACCAAGGATATTACACAATACAAAGGATTGCTCACCGGCCTCGATCGTTGGAATTAAGTTCATATGTAGTTGCACCGTTGCTGACGTCATCAACGGTCTCGTTAGCGGTTTGTACCAGCAGTCGTAGGTAAAATATATAAAGAGCGTTTTTTTTTAAAGATAAAAGTCAAAATGGCATTATGTTGGCAATACAATGTAAAATTGTCAATACTTTCAATTTTTTTATGTAGTAAAGGCTTGTATTGCCAACATAGTTACTAAATTTTTGACTTGGGGAATTATCTTTAAAAAAAAAACGCACTTTATATTTTTGATGAAAATATAACTTAATTTTGATTAACATAAAACATAATAGGCAAGAGGAAGATGCAAACGAGATTTAAAAGGGTTGTTTTCGGTACTAAAACCAAATATGCCTGAAGCAAATATCAGCACAATCATAATAGTATTTTTAATACCCATTTAGAATAACCCGGCCCATCCTTATTTATCAATCACGAATCAGATGAAATAAAAAATTACATAGACCATTTTAGGGTGACGTCATAACCGATCGGCCATTTTAACTGAGGGGCATACACAAGATAAACACAGGGTTGTCAACTTCTGAAATGGGCCACTTTCACATTTTTCAAAAACATATTTAAATTATTCTTTTAGTCATTCTAATACTATCTGTATACTTTTTTTCCGAAAAAAAAAAACGTTTATTTTTGAAAAAAAAAAAGCGAATTTCGCGCAAGTGAGAATGAGGCATTATAATCTCATTTAAATTTCGCATTTCATGTGGCAACAAGCACGTCAAAATCGGCTTTAGCCAATCATAGGGCGTTTTCAATCATGTGATTTTTTGTTTAAATTTTTAATTTTAATTTATTAATTTATTTAATAATCTAACTAAAATCTTAAAAAATATTGTTCATTCTCGGTTGCATTGATGTATCTGCGTCAAAAAATATCATAATTTGCCATATTCCCGGCACGTGAAAGTAGCCCATTGGTTCACCCTTCACCCGGAGATTTTTCCGCGACTGAAATAAAAATGGCGTTACCCAGAAATATGTTAATTGAAATAGCAAAACAAACATAGGGAGAAGATTTTAAAAAGTTAGTTTTTTTGTAGGTACTGTGTAGTGTGTAGGTACAGGTACTATAAATGAAGATATAGTCCAAGAGCCCAGAGCCGCCAGACACAACTTATTTTCTAAAGGACAGAATATGTGGGATTGTGTAGCACTTATATATACTAAATGTACTATGAACATATAGTCCAAGAGCCCAGAGCCGCCAGACACAACTCATTTTCTAAAGGACAGAATATGTGGGATTCAGCGGCGGATTTAGGATTCCTTCTAGGGGGGGGGGCGATCCATCAGGGCCTCAGGCTCAGATAAGAAATAATAAAAAAACGACTTAAATATACAGAGTGGCAAAAAAGTCGCGTATAATACCTGTAACTTTCTAATTACCTCGTATACGAAAAAGTGACCTTAATGAAAGTTGCTCAGTAAATTAGGGACATAAAGCTTCCGTA